ACATTCAGTTATAGTCATAGTGCCACCTACTGGGAAAAGGAACTGTTGTACCCCTGGATAGGTCAGTGGTTAATGTCACGTCCTGACCGGGAATAGAACCCCCGATCAGGACGTGACGGTATCCCTTAATGCTACTCGCTATAAGAGTCATACTGGCTTGGATGTTGCCCGGGTCAACAAAGTCCGCGTCAGGTGCTAGGGAACCAGAGCAATCTGATGAGAAATGGGCTACTGAAACAAGACATTCATGGTCTAAAGCAGAAAATATGGATTTGTTGCAATGCTACTATACAAGCAATCATAGTGAGAGGGGTTATATGCTGATGCTGTGGGATATATGGATGCTTTGAAACTCAACATCGACACTGACAAAAAACAACTCCTAACTCAGTGTTCTGACACATGAAAGCGGCAACTGTTATCACAACTAGAGATTGATGAGGTAAAACAAACAAGCCATGTCAAGCGGGAACCCGGATATACGCAAGCACACTGCATTTTCTTGCCTTTTTAACACCGTTGTGTTTACAAACTTGTCCCAGCTGAGTGGGTAACACCTGTGACACGCCCACCAAGCTTCTTGTTCCCATCATGCTTGGAGCTCTGGCATTAAAGATATATCCAGTGGGATAAACAAACGACCCGCCTTGCCCCTGACAATCTCCATCTAAATGACTTTGGACACGGCTATCTCATTATATACTGTTCATTTTTGAAATTTACACCTGCACGTACTTTGCAAACCAACGCATAAGACTCAACCCGCACCAACACGGACAAATTGTATTCAACTAAGATAAGTCATAAAATATGGAAAAGATAATTGGTCTCCTTTAATTGAATAAATTGTTAAATTGCCTATATCTCTTTTTTCTTCACACTTCAATCGTCCAATCCACCAAACACCACCCAACAAGAGTCAACAGCAAAGAAAAGCTGTTTGGTGTATTAGAACAATTAAACGCACAACCAGACTTATTATTCCTCCAGTATTTGCATGAAAACATCTCCTGAAGGCACAAACATGGCAGAGTTGACAAGTCCCATGACCGGTGAGTCAGCTGAAGTCGGCTAGTAGACAGACACTGAGAATGCACCCCACCTCTCCCTGAAAGTGGCCACACCCCTAATTATACAGAACTTTAAGCCTTAATGTAAATTAGAAAACTGAGTTATTTAAAAAAATAAAATAAAATTAACCCCTCACAGTTGTCCTGAAGAAGGAAATGAGCAATATACACTAAAACAATTTTTTTAACCAGGCCGTGAACATGTTTATTTTTGCTGTAAACTTGGGCATTTTAACATGGTGGTGGTCTGTCTCCCTTTTGGAGCCTCAAGTGGCCACTCGATGAATTGCTGATTTTTATCCCTTCCTGGATGGCTTCAGTTATGAGACTGGAAGGTCGCCACTTGGTGAATTGCAATTTTTGGTGTTTCCGGGTAGTATTTATTTTTCAGAAACAGTTATCTTTTGGGCCTTTCATCTAGCTAGCCAGAGCACAGTAACAGCAGCAGACGGACATCACCTCCTCTCTCATGGATAAGATTGTGTTCCTGTTGGTCCTTCTGCCTCCAGCAGCTTCTGGTAAAGACGAGCTTTTATTGTGAATAGATTCATGTAACGTAGACAGGAAAGACTTTTAATCAGTGTTTTAAAGTAATGTTATCTTGTCCTACGAATTCTTCATGTGTTTGTGGGTCAATGACGTGACGCCTACATTTTGTGTCCAACTGGATTTTTTTCACAAAAAAAACAAAAAGGTTGAAAGCATAACAGCCATATAACCATATAAATACAGGACCTCTCCCATATATGTACTCACCTTTAACTTTAAAAAAAACATTAGCTGTTTGTAATTTTTCTGATAATTGAAGTGTCAAAATGTCATGCCATGACTGCTGTTTTGAAAACTTCTTCGAAATTACTTTAAATTTATTCAAAATAGTGTTTTGCCCTATTTTCCAAAGTGTTTTGTAAACCTCTTCAAAATCGCAAAGCATCTGTATTTATATTTCCATAATAATACACAAGCAATCTTTGTCAGATAATGTCCATTTTATGAAATATCATGCTGTGCGACCATCTACAAACGACCACTTTGGGACTTTTATGTTGAAATCCATTAGAAGACAGGAAGTTGAATAATATACCAATTTGCCAAGGACCCATTGAAACAGCAAGTAGGTTTGTAACTCTCTCTCAAATCACTTGTTATGTAGTTGCCACATTTTGGATAATATAAAGTTATTTCTACCAATATTTGTTTTGATTATAAATTTCATGGAATCCTTTTGTGGGAAGCCAGCTTGTTTTGTTTAGGTGGCCTATTCTCTGCCTGTAAATTTTGACTAAATTAGAAAATATCATGTGGTGCGACCGCTGAAAAGTGGTTTCCATGATTGGCAATTTAGTTTTTGTCCTTTTAGTTTCAATTTCTGACTTTTACATATAAAGTACTTTTATTTTAGTATAATTTGGAATAGATTTTCTGTAATTTGACACATTTTTTCTTATATTTCATTAACAAAGGATTATTTTTAGTCTTTGTACAATATCATGAGCAAAATGCCCCCCAAAAAATATTTAGAACTTGTAAATTCACTTTGGTAACTATGCATTATTATTTAATTGTAACCGTTTTACCAGATGCCACTCCCAAGTAAAGAAAAACTGCTCGCCATGGACAGCATAATAATTTTGACCCTACAGCAAGAGCGGAGTCGCTAAAAGAAGCAAAAAATATTGTGTCTTAAAGAAAATTTTAAATGAAAACTATATGAAGCAACATGTTGCTCTTGTGCGCATTTCCATTTCCTAGGAGGAAATGCATTTTTTTGTGAACATGCTGGAGTAGGAGCCTGTCCTCATTTGATTTATTAGGCTGCTTTATGACCCATGTTTACGTTTTTAATGACCTCTATTGGCTGTGTTGGCAAACCCAGGACATTCACACAGGAGAACCGTGTCCGATTCCCCTGTGAAATCAAGTAAATTTAGAATTATTTTCTTTTAAATTTTAATAAAGATATCTGGTTATATATATATATATATATATATATATATTTTGATTGAAGTTTTTGTTTATTGATCTCTTCAAATCTATATTTTTAATGATATGCAGTGTTCATGTCATTTGGAGCGACCACTCGTCATGTGGTGCGACCAATAACAACAATAACTGTAAACTATAAAATCTCATTCCTGGGACTGAAATATTAATTACTGATGCAGTATGTTTAAGTGATTGGTAATTTTTAAATATTTATCAGTTTTATGCAATTTACAGTCAAAATTAATCAACTACATTTAAGAAGGGGATTGTGACATTATAGAGCAAAAATATATAAGATCATTATTTACAAAATCCCAAAAGAAAAGCAAATACAGTGAGGAAAATAAGTATTTGAACACCCTGCTATTTTGCAGCCAGCCCCTCCATGATTTCTAAGTGGGAGAACTTGCAAAATAGCAGGGTGTTCAAATACTTATTTTACTCACTGTACATTGTATCTAAAACCTTTATATTAATGAGAACTATAAGGAACGTTAAGGAAATTAATTTTAAAATAAGTTATGGTCACACCACATGACATGTTGTAAGGCCACAAACACTTTATGTAGCTGAAAAACACACTAAAATCATTTAATTTGGAAAAATTAGATTTTTGTGTATACAGCATTCTTAATGTTTGAACAATGCCAATAAATGTTTAAATTTTTTGTATTTTAAAATTGGCCTGTTGAAAATCCTTATACGTCATTCAACCTTGTAACAGGGCTGGGCGACATGTCGAATATATTATATGTAAGATCATGTCGTCATGGTCGAGTTTCAGTGTTTTTCCGCTGGTCGCTTCTGGTGGGAGTGATAAACGGTGAAAAGCTAACTAGCTAGCAGCTACAAGTCACTGTGTTTGTTTCGAGGTGGCGGAAAGAAAATGCGATCGATCACCTGATCTCTATAATTTCTCTACCGCGGCTTCCAGCTCTGTAACATATTTATGATATTTACAGTTTGAGGCTATTTTAATAACATCAGTCTAACTTGTAGCTGCTAACTAGCTAAATTAGCTTTTCGCCGTCTGGTCCAGCTCGCTGTGAAGAGGACGAGCCGCTGTAGTAACGTTACATAAACACGGACTTTATTTACTTTCTGTGGCACAACACACATTAACTATTATACTACCAGTGTTTGGCAAGCTGCCTGGAAAATGTAGTGACCTAGCTACCAGTTACTCTACAGTAGCAAGCTAAGCTACAGCAACATGGCAAAAGTAGTTTCCTACATCTAAGCTATTTCTAAAAAAAAATTTATATTGAACCAACTTCAATTCAAGTCAATGCTGTCTCTGTGATCAATAAAACTGACCAAGCTGGCAAAATGTCTCTCTCACTGCTCCAAAGCTAATTTGAATATTGATATTACATGAGAAAAGCTGAACAGGAGAAACATATCTGAAAGCAACACAGAACACCAGAGAGCCTTACTGCTTTATATAGTTTTATATTTTGAGTCATCGTCTGCCACCTGAATTTTTCCCCCCCTTTACATAAATAAAAACATTTCCAGCATAAATTGCTGCAGAAAAATCTCCTAGAATGCAGGAAATTAAGTACTTAATGATCAAAAATGCATGAATGTAATTCAGCATTGAAGATTTATCAGAGTTCAAATTTTGTCTCACCTCTAAGGCCCAATACTGATATTTCCTGTTATTATAACTAGGTCTAATAACTAACTGGGACTTGTTGATGTTTCTAAACACGTAAACGTTTAATTTGATATCAACTATGTGAAAAAGGAAATGAAACCGTGTACCAGACAGTCTGTTGTGTTTGCTGTTCACGTGATAATGTTAGCTTGCTAGCATTATTCAGCTTTAGTTGGGTTAGTTTAGTTAACGGTTTTTCAGTTTGCTAGCTTACAGGCTCCTTACGATGCTAGCAGTGTGCTCGTGGTTTAGAGACTGAGAAAACCTTTCACAGAAACACTCACCGTGAGAGAGACCTGTCAAAAGAACCGGGAAGACGAAGAAGAACAGAAGATAAGCCACGCTGTACTGAACAACCATCGTCTTCTAAATCTTTGCGGCCTGGTTTAAAGCTTCCAGAGTTCCAGTGAAAATTGTGTCTCAATTCAGGGACCGCATCCTTCGAAGGGCGTGGCCTTCGAGGCCTACGAAGTATGCGGCCGCAAAAGGCAGAACAGACCGTTGTTCAATGAGACGGTCTGGTCTACGGAGGACTGTTGCGTCATCAACTGACCCCGCCCTTACCCATGCGTGGGGAAGCGCCGCTCTTGTCGCCTAGCAACCTTCACAGCTGCGGTCCACCGGCAATAGAGACGAATATTTTAATTTTAATATTTTACCTCTTAATAGAGGAACTAGAGCTACTTCACCGCCGGCGCCGCCGCATGATGTATCTCAGGAGGTGAGAGGACCCTGGCCAGGGGTCAAAGTAACTAAGAAACGTTACATTTTATTTGTATTTAGGTACTATAGGCTTCCTAAAGCTAATGTTAACCTCAGTTAATGTAGTTTGTTGCTATTGCCATTTCACTTTAACAACATAATTTCATATTTAAAGAAAACCTAACCTTACTAATATTAAAATATTGAAAGTGTTTTTGTCATTGATCAGCTAAAGCAAGTTGAATAGAATGATATACAAGCCTTATCTAACTAAGCTCTCTACACTTCACAACAGTTGTTCTTCTCCTTGTATCTCTACACCAGCCCCGGCCCCTGTACTGCAGGACAAATCTGAGAGTTCCTGTGCTGGACAGGTTTTTTAACCTGCAGGACACACGGCTGGATTTCCGGTTGAGCAGGGAGACCCTGGGAGTGCTACTAGGCCTCCTAAACCAGGAACGGAGACACGGATGGGGTGCCACGATTGAGACCCTGGTGTTTCTCTTCTGGCTGGCAAGCGAGGCATCATTCAGGGTGGTCTCCAGAGTGTTTGCAATGCCTCGATCCAGTCACTGAGGAGGTGGTGGCCATTCGCCACAAGGTCATACACTTACCCAAGACCCAGGATGAGTTACAACCGATATCCCGTGGGTTTGTAGGGCTGGCAAGACACAGAGCCTTTTTTAAAGCAGCTGGAGCAATCGACGGCTGCCATGTCCGCATCAAGCCACCGAGCGGCCCTGATGGTCAGTGCTACAGGAACAGGAAACTGTTTCCATCCATCATCCTGCAGGCTGTCTGTGACCATCAGGGCCGCTTCATTGACACCTACCTGGGCTGGCCTGGGTCGGTCCATGACTCCAGAGTGCTCCGCTACAGACCACTGTACAGGAGTTCACTCTACCCTCCTCCAGGGCATTTCATCCTTGCAGACGTATGGTACCTCTGCATCCAACACCCACTCCCCCTCATCCCTCCCTACAAGAGGCCAATACAAGGTGTGGGAGCCCAGCGCTTCAACAGCCATCACTCTAGGGCACGATCCATTATAGATTACAGATTCATCAAAAAGCATAAATGTTTTTTCAGACTGAAATATATTTTTAACCATTTCAGGTCATAACAATTATTCATTTAGCTGACACTTTTATCCAAAGCGACTTACAATTGCTATACATGTCAGAGGTCACACGCCTCTGGACCTATGGGTTAAGTGTCTTGCTTAGGGACACAATGGTGGATGTCTCACAGCAGGAATTGAACCCAGGTCTCGAACCCAGGTCTCCCACACCAAAGGCAAGCATCTTATCTATGCGCCATCACCACCAATAACAGCATGTGCCATCCTCCACAACATCTACCTTGGTGCTGGTGACATTGTGGCCCCAGAGGATGAGCCCAACACCTCATCCATGAGGACAAACCAGGGCCAAGTTGCAGCAGTGGGCTTCCCCCCTACACCCTGTCCTGACTCTGGACACTTGCAATCCTAAGGCACAGGAAATTAATCATGGCAAATAACAACAGCAGCAAAACAAATTTCAGCAACTGTGTTTATTAACGTGCATGACTAAAATGAATGAAATGAATATACAACGTACAAGGTAAATGTATGTATTATATTAAAAAAGGGTTGAAGATGAATGCGGTTTATATTTCCCTTTATGCTGCACAGTGAACGATTTATATAAAAACGTATACAGAATATATCAATTTCAAATCATACATAGTATTTTTTTTTCTCCACTTTTTTTTCGCTTGGAGGGAAGTCACCTTCCCCCACAAGCCCATTTTCTCCAAATAAGATAAAATAATAAAATATTTGTGCCACAGTGGGGAAATTGCGGTACATGGTAATTGTGTGAAGACACATCAAAGGGCTGCCCCATTTACAAGTTTTCTTATTGTTAAAGGCTTTGAATAAGATGGCGGCTCATTTAACTGTAACTTTAAGTACACGATGATTAAATGCAGATATTACAAAAGGGTTATTGATACTTTAATTACCTCCAAGCCACGTTGGCAGAAAACTTTGCCCCAGTGAAGAGGTGGTCGCTCTCCCCCCTCTGTTTAATGAACAGGGCAGTTTGCTCCTTGCTCCCTAAAACAAAACAACATGTTCAAGTAAGTTTTATGCTTCACATCACCAAACAGTAAGCAGCATAAATCATTAACCGTGTACTATATCCCAAGGTTTTTGTAACCGTTACTAACGTTAAAGGTGTGAAAACCAAGTAGGGTTCACAACCCGTCTAACGTTAAATTATTCTAACGTTACGTGGTCACGTTATTTTCATGTACATAATATATCGTGATAATCTCGGTAAGACGCAGGTCTGACTCTGAACCTCTTCGATTTAAAGTGAAGACGTTAAAGGCTTTATTTTTTAGGTTGTAACTTGGCCAAACGATTTGCATTTAACGTTAGCACATTAGTAACCTCAGCTAACGTTAACTTAACGTTAGCTCGCCAGTTAATCACTTAACTCACGTTAACGTCTTCCACAAAACTATTGGACAAATTGCGCTTTTATGCCTCTTTTTGTGTAGTTGGCTTTTGAAGTGAGTTGAAATCCAATACTTACATTTATAGGTAAAATCCGGGGGGCTCAACTCCGCAGCCACAGCAGACGCCATTATTTACGCTGGGACAATCAACCGGCGCGCAATGAATGTCGGGATATAAGGCCTTATATTCGGTCTTCAAATGCAGCCTTCGAAGGATGCGGTCCCTGAACAGCTATGTCTGGTTTATACTTCTGTGTCAAGTCTACACCGAGCCAGCTAACTTCCGGTTTAGTCAGTGTTGCCAGATCCTGCTGATGAATTCCTGCCCAAAAACATTTCAAAAACTTCCACGTTAACTTCCACGTTTCCTTACATACGTTACATTTCATTTACATAGCCTTAGCCTACATACTTTACACAAGTAATACACACCGGCAGCCGAAAGCATCCATAAATAAACCGTTTTAGGTGCATTAGCACCACCTGCTGGACTGGAGTATTGCCCTCCTTCTAATTAATGACACCATCAAAACCTTACGGTGAAATGACAATATCCTCCACACACTCGTTTGTATTTTTGCAAGTCGATTTTTTTTAATGCAATGACATGACACGCTTTATCTTCATTCAGAAAATGTTGTGTTACTGACAGATGACTTGTAGCGCAGCGCCAATGGTGTGTGTGTGTATGTAACAGTAGCGACAAAACGATGAAGAAATGCGATGTGTCAGTCAATAAAATTTTCCAAAACTTTACTCCAGACAGACAGTGTGGGAGGTTTATACCTTTATATGCAGAACAGGCTGCCAGCTGTCACTTGAACAGACTGCTGAAGAAGACAGTTAAACATCTGAATGCAACTTTGTGGAACTACAGTCTGCGGCGCTCTCTAGTACCATGAGCAACGTGACTTTGAAATGGGCGTTGCTCAGATAATGATGATTGATTGGATGGAGTACATGCACTCTTAGTTTTGTTTCAAATTACCTATAAAATGCTACTGTTAAAAACCGCAAAACTGATCCCAAACCAGCCCAAATTTTGTCCATCCGCCCAAACAAATTTTGACCCGCACAATCAAAATCAAAACAGCCTACAGCCCAATCTGGCAACACTGGGTTTAGTCCTCCTAATTTCTTCTTCTTTGAGTTTTAATAGTGGTTGGCATCCAAAAAGTGAAAAGGCTGTTGCAATAATCCAGGCGGGATGAGATGAAGGTGTGTAAAATGGTCTCGGTGTCCTTAAAAGTTAATATAGATCGAATTTTTGCTATATTTCTAAGTTGATAAAAACATGATTGAACAAGCTTTGTGGTGTGCTGCTCGAAATTTAAATTACTATCAAACCAAACACCAAGGTTCTTTGCCACAGGCATAATGTGATTTAATAGGGAACCAGCAAATGGCAGTATTTGATTTGCCATCTGCTGAGACCCGATGACCAGGATTTCTGTTTTGTCTGAGTTCAGCTGGAGGAAATTATTTGACATCCATATTTTAACTTCACAAAGGCAGTTGTTAAGTGAACTCAGCATTCCAGGGTCTGTGGATCTGACGGGCAAGTATATTTGTGTGTCATCAGCATAAATATGAAAAGAAATGCCATGTTTATGGATAATATGTCCAAGGGGAAGCAGATACAAGGAAAACAAAATGGGTCCTAAGACCGACCCCTGAGGCACACCATATTTAACTGGACAGAATGAAGAGACATAGTTGTTCACAGACACGCAAAACTTCCTATTTGACAGGTAGGATGAAAACCATTCTAGGGCAGTACCAGAGATCCCCACCCAGTGCCTCAGTCTGTCTAACATGATGTTGTGATCAATGGTGTCAAAAGCAGCACTAAGGTCCAGGAGTACCAGGACTGAGCACATGCCTTCATCAGCAGACATTAAAAGGTCATTGGTGACTTTAAGCAGGGCAGTCTCAGTGCTGTGGTACTTCCTAAAACCAGAGTGAAACTTTTCAAATAATTTGTTATTTTCCAGCACAGTGAGCAGCTGTTTGGACACAATTCTTTCTAGAATCTTTGCAATAAAAGCCAGTTTTGAAATTGGTCTAAAATTATGTGGGAGGGAGGGATCTACAGCAGGTTTCTTTAAAAGTGGGTTCACGCAAGCCGTTTTAAAATAATCAGGGACACAACCAGTAGATAGGGAGCTGTTGAAAACAGAGATCAAATGGGGCCCAACAGAATCCATTATTTTCAGTAAAAACTTTGTAGGTATAACATCAAGTGGGCTGGAGGACACTCTCATTTGTGATACTGTTTTTAAAAGCTCAGACAAGTCGATGGGATAAAACTGGTTAAAACTCTCTTGTTGCTGGTGAGGAACCTCTGAGTAAGAGGCCACGCGGGTAATAGAGGCTCTGATTGACACCACCTTATTGGTAAAATAAGATAAAAACAATTCACAGTCATCATTACTTCCAGCTGAGGCACAAGGAGGGGTTGGGTTTACCAGCTGATCCACAGTCTTAAACAGAAACCTGGGATTGTGTTTATGTGTAGTAATGTGTTCAGAAAAATATGAATATGATGAATATGATCCATTCATTCGGTAACATTTGAAAAGGCTACACCAGCCGCACATTTTACCCACATTCACATTAGCGGAGCACTAAACTGGAAGTTAGCCTGCTTGGCCGGCAAAAGTCAACACAATATATATGTACATATATATATATATATACACACACAAGAATGATGTCCGCAGGGAGTTCATCTCCACAGTATTCTTTAAAAACCAGTGTGACTTCTCTCTTTGTATCAATATAAAAACGGACCTCAGATCAAGTTATTTGTTGACTTTTGAACAGAGTCCTGCTTCTAGAGCAGATGAAACTAAGAGTCACTTAAACCTGATAAAAACAGGATAATTCACCTTCCGTAACAGTAACTCTAAAGCCGATAGAAGAAAATGAAATCTGATGTTTCAAAATGTCTGCCTGGGCCTCCCCTTCTAATCAGAGAATGAACGGGACTTTTTCAGGGTGGCTTGTTGTCTGAAGCAGCTCTGAGGTCATTTTAACTTCACCATCCCCCACGTCTCAGTCTGAATCAGGATGTGGGTTCAGTTCTTCCTCTTTACTGCTGGTGGGTGAAAAGTGACTCACATGAAACCAGACTGCTGCTCTTTTATTCATGTATGTCTGAAGACGCTGAAGTTTAAATTGAACACGCTGAGACATGATCCCCACCTGCTGTGTGGACAGATGCATGTTGAACAGCTGTGACTCTGCTTTGTGTCTGTGTGTCTCTCAGAGGAGCCATCTTTGATCACGTTTCCTCCTCCTGATGAATAACTGCTGGATCAGGATACTCTGATCAAGCTGTTTCAGGAAAACTTCTTTTCCTCTGGACTTTATTGGAGTGAACCGTCTCTCTGATAAACCTCAGTATGGTGTACTGGAGAGTTTTACATGTATTTCTTCCTCTTCTGTCACGTGTTTCCTGGATGATGATGTAAACACTGACCAGAGTGGGAAACAAAGTCATGCATGGAAAGGTTTTCTGTATGTACAGTACGTCATAGTACGCAGTTTCCTGTTATGAAGCACATGACCTGCTGCGTGTATAAATACAGACTGCAGAAAGAGGAAGTCTTGTGACATCTGCTGAAGTTTTTTTAAAATGTCTGTGGAAGGTTTTTAAAATAATGGGATGTACTGGGACTGAAATTTAGCCTGAGACTTAGAGATGGAGAGGTCTTTTGAGATAAAGATATTTTTGCAGTTATCTTAATAATAACAGTGTTTTGTGGTATAAAGAGAATCAGAATATGCTGAAGACCTTCCAGAAACTTCAGGATGACTCCTGTCTCCTCAGTTTGTATTAGAGCTGGACGATGTGGCTTCAAATGTTATCACGATAACAAAGTTTCATAGCTTTTGATATCGATAATTATCACGATAAATATCACATTGTTTCGACTTTAAAGGCTGATTTTAGCTCCTAAAGGTTGAAGAAACATGATTAGTTGCATTTTAAACTCTTCTTTACAACGCTTGAGACCAAACAGTGGATCACTTCACAAATCTGAGGTAGAACATTCAATACAATCGTGATACAATCTTTGTCAACAAATATGCAGAGTAAAATTAAGTAAAAGCTATTTTCGGTCCTTTCCCCCTCAACAAAATAAATTAATTGAAAAAGTGAGTCCTACTTCGTGTTTGATTCAATTGAATAAAATCAAACATTTATTGAATATTTATTGTTTTATTGTCCAGTCCTAGTTTGTTTACAGGGATAAAAGCAAGAATTTTTTCGGGGGCGAGAGCGTAACTTTGTGTTGAAAAGCGGTGGGTGTGATGATACACTCAGCGAAACATGGGGAACGACTAGACTTGGTTCACAAGAACAAGACGAGAAGGTAATTGTACAGTATTCAAATTAATTATTGAATGATGATTGAAATGTTTAATCAATGTGGAAATGTATGAGGGGGGTATCTGTGGGTCTTCCCTCAGAATATTTTGAGCATTAAACACTTAATTTCTTGACGGCCACCGTAGCTTCTCCTACGCCTGAGCCAGTCAGATTTCAGCAAAAATGGGCCAAGTTGGGAGGGGCCGCTCATCTTCCCATAACACTGAAAGTATTAGTTTGGCCCAATCTGACATACAGCCAGCACAAAAGTGAGATATTAGAAATTGAAAAATAAAAACTCTTTGACCAGCGGTCGGTTTAACCTGGAATGGACCGGCTGTTCCTGACGGTCAGCCTGCCGCTGCCATTGACCTTTTCATGTTCCAACTGTTTGTGTCACACATGTCATCACTTTTAAGTCTCAGAGCTCAGCACCGGGTTTTCTGAACAATATATAAAAAACTGATCTGAGTCACAGTAATTCAGTTTAGACTCCACACAAGCATCTACATAAATAAAAATCCAGGTCTTACTAGTTGTAGATCCCTGCACAGGCCTCACATCTGGGCCCTAGCCCGACCCTGACCTGACATTTTAACAGAATTCTCAGAATTTAAGACCAAGCGGCCAGCAGCCGCAGTGAGTTGATGATCAATGTAGCATCTCAAATCAACACTTGACTACAACAAAATACTTCGAGCATATCACAATGTTAGCTTAAAGGTTTTTTTTTTATCACCACCAAGTTAAAAAGCATTTTTGACAAGCTGAGGCAGGCTGCTGCTGCTGCTGCTGCTGCTCGCAACGCCGTGCTGAAAAACAAACGGGCTGTATAATCTCAAGAAATAATAAAAACCATGCAGGTTGTTTTACCTTACACCCGGGCTGTGAATCCAAAATCAAGGCTTCACCACAGAACATGGCTAATCCCAAAGTCT